TAAACAGGCCCAAAAGAAAAATCTAAATGATTAGTATTCTGTTTCTTTATGTAATACTCAATACCCTAGGTGCATACGTTACTCAATATTTTTTGCACATAAAAAATTTAAAAGCAAATCATACATAGTAAAAAAGGTACAACACTAGTGCAGTTGTTTTGATGTCGTTATTACCGAACCTAGTCTGTCTGTCAGTTAAAGATTAACCGTCACTTCCTGAATGTTTTTAAAGCTGCATAAATGTTAGCTGCGGGTTGTGCTAAAATTATTTTAGAATTTTTTATAGATTATTTAGTTTTTTACATGCTTTGCTGAGCAAAATATATAAATAACTATTGCAGTTCTACATGCACAGCACATTAATGTATCCACCAATGCTGGGGAAAATGCTGTGAGCACATGTGTGTATGGCATTTCTGTTAGATGCCAAGTGGGCTCATGTTTGCTTGAGCTATCATGTGGCAGAAAAATGCACAGCAAAGTGCAGTGGAGGTGATTTTTTTTTTTTACTTACTTATGTTCTCAAGAAGCAAGGAACTGTCACTTCTCTGAAAGTGACAATTCCATTTTAACTTTTTTAGTTCAGCTTTAACTGTTTTACAGAGTTAACTTTTTCAATAGTGAAAATTTTAAGGTATTGGATCAGGAAGAGGGATATAAGGGCAATTATACTATAAATATCACCAAATATCCTTCTAACTCAATACTGCGGGTAATTGCACTCAGATCCGTTTGGTAGAATAGAATCACCACTGGGGTAAAGATCTGACCAGCCAGCCACGAGGTGAAAGCCCAAAATAGTTCCCGGGAAATTGGTACAACTCTCTGCTTGGGGGTTCCTGTGTGAACATCATATGAGATATTTCCTTGGTTTCAGGGAGCGAATGCTCCCTCCAGTCGCTAGTTCCTATCTCCCAAACGTCGTTTGAATAGCTGGTCAGGAAGTGGGACTGGCAGCGATACAATCTATGCCGGGGTTCATGTGAGTGCATAGCCGAGAAGAGTTCCAGGCACTCGACAATCAAGTACCGCTAGCTGTGTTCGGGAGACAAAATGGCCGCCATCCTTTTTGTCGACCATGTGCGTTTGGTGACATGAAATGGTGGCCACCCATTGGAAGCACTCATTAGTTATTTCCTTTGTGGTTTCGCACTAAGTTTAACTGGTGTTAAGGTTTTAATGAGGTACAGGGGTGGTCCTCGTTCGGGAGTCGAATAAAGAAGGTTCGGGTACAATAACTCCCGAACGTATGTAAAGAAGAAATAGTCCAATGGAACGGTAAGTTCCGCCACACAGCTCCCCCTTGAACACAAGCCGGCATACACAGTCTTAACCTCACGTATCGGCTTGGGAGTGTCCAGGGGAGTACTCACGGATCACTTCTCCAGTTCTGTTTGTCGTGATAACCCGTCGGTGTTCCCATTTTGCTTCCTGGGTCAATAATGGTAAAGTCCTATGGCTGTAAGGCCAGGCTCCAACATAATAGCCTGGCGTTGTCCCCAGCGACACGGTTAAGCCATAGCAACAGGTTGTGATCCGTGAGTAGGGTAATTGTTGTCCATAAATGTATGGCTAAAGCTTTTTTTTTTTTATTCTTATTTTTGTACTGTTAGGAATACAGTGGTGTGACAGTATAGGCTTATGCAAAAGCCATTTCATAACACTAGTGTCATATGAATTACAGAAAGGAAGAATATGTTAGTTAGAACATGTAACCATTCATATATTGGTATCTTCCTTGTTTGCATTTTATCAGGCTTTTACCTTTTCTTTTTTTTTTTTACATCTTTTGTGTTTAGTACTAAGTATGCGGTATCTTGGGGCTACGTGGCTTGCGCAGAAGCCAGATCACCGTATTTGTATCATGCGTTTACAGAAAGGAATAAGACAATTTCTTAGTGCAGGGAGCATTTGGCTTGCATTCCAACAGAGTTTTACCTTTTGGTCCCATATAACATATGGGTCACCAAGAGGATAGCAACCGGAGAAATAAACATAAAAACATAACAACATGGAAACTTGGATTGATAAAAATCCTGTACTGTATTACTGAGAGTCATCTTAGTTGTGGGTGGTCGTGTTCCCTCCTTCCAGACTCCCCTCCATCGTTCCGGGACTCCTGTACCCCCCCACCCCCTCACCACTCCCCCCCCCCAGCGTCCTCCCACCGGGGCTCCTTTGTGGGCGTGAGCCGTGACCCCGGACGGATTCCCCCAGGGGACCCCGGGCAACGGAGCATGTGGCCTCCCCTGGTCGAAGTCCAAGAACTCTGCTGCTGAGGGCCGGCAACTCCTGCTTCACCCCCTACAGCTCTCCTAGTGCACACCCCACTCTGCCACCCCGCGGCTTCCGGGCCCCCCCCCCTTCTGTGTGTTGCCCTATTTGTCCTCGTTCTCTCTCCTACCTACCCTCTCAGACTACAAATTGGTGCCTCAGTTTGTCCATGAGATAGTTATCTTTTATTTTGGCTATAACCATAGACAGCGGGGTCAACTCCAGGCTCAACCATTTCTGGGCTAAGGCTCATCTGGTCGTTAGGTATACCATGTTAAGTAGTTTCTGTTCGTGTCTGGGTAAACCCTCGGTACGTCTGGAAAGGAGGCAGGCCCAGGGGTCGAGTGTGAGGGACCTCTGTAGTATCTGGGTGCTCAGCCTACCTCAGCCGACCACCTTCACCCAGTATTCCTTCACTTTGGGGCATTGCCTCCATATGTGAATGTAACTCCCTCTCTCCCCACATGTCCTCCAGCATGTGTCCGTGGGGCTGATCTTCATATGATATTGTTTGACCAGAGTGGTGTACCACCTAAGGAGGGTCTTATAGGCTTGTTCCTGGAGGGTGACACAAATGGAGGATCATGCGCTCACCTCCCAGATGTCCTCCCACTCCACGCCCTACAGTTGTTTCCCCAGGTCAGCCTTCCATTGGTCGGTGTAGCACAGCACTCCCCACTTGTTGGACTCTGCACTAATGTGGCCATACAACAGTGAAATCAGGCCCTGCTGTGCCCTTTCTTGGAAGCACATCTTCTCAAAGAATGTCAGAGGGGTTGTGGTCACTGTATGAACCTCTCGGTTGTAATCACTGTATGAACCTCTCGGCAGGCGGCAAAGTCGCGCACCTGGAGATATTGGAAGTAGTCCTTTGTCCGAAGGGTGACTAGTTCCTTTAATTGGTCATAAGTGACAATCTTGTTGTCCACGTACAGGTGGACGTACCTCTGGAACCCTATGTCTTCTATCCCCTTAAAATCATGTGCATTTAGTCCCGTGGGGAACGCTTTGTTCCTGAGGACTGGGGTCATAGGGGAAGGTAGTTTGCTAAGGTGGTATTTGGATGCGGTCAGGTCCCATATCCTGACAAAGTTGAGTATTGCCGGGCATGCTGTATCAAGGAATGTCCTGCTGGTTTTTGGTACCCATATAAAAAATAGGGGCATACCCACCCCGGTCAGTAGCGATTCAATGTCTACCCAACATTTTTGTTCTGGGGGCGAGTTTACTATTTGTGCCCGTTGCGCTGCAAGATAGTATAAATATGGTAACCCCAGTCCTCCCCTGTTCTTGTGGCGATATAGCAGAGCTCATGCTATCCTGGGCCATTTTATCTGCCAAATAAAAGTGTCAATGGTATGCTGTAAGTGTGCTAGATTCCCAGGAGCCGGGGCAATATGATAATTTTAACAGTATGCAGTCTCCCAATCCATGAGATTGGTTTGTCTGTCCATCGCTCCAGATCTTGGATCAGGGCATTAATCAGCGGTTAGTAGTTGTGTCGGTATATCTGCGTGTGGTCGTAGCGTATCTCTGTATATGTGCAGGTTAAATGTGGTGTAGATCAGTGCCGTGTTTGCAGCCGAGAAGTGAAACGGTAGTGCCATGGATTTGGTCATATTAACTCTGCCATACTGGTCTAGGAGCTCTGTCAGATGTGTCAGTGACTGTATTGGGTCTGTGAGTGTCAGGAGGATATCATCCGCGTATGCGGAGACCTTGAACTGCTTGCCGGCCAGTGTCACCCCTCATATTTGTGGGTTTATCCGTATCGCCTGGAGCAGCGGCTCCAGTGATGGTGCAAACAACAGGGGAGACAGTGGACATCCCTGTCTTGTGCCGTTGTGTAAGGGGAATGATATTGCGCCCGAGATGATATTCTGTGCTCTTAAGTTTGAGTATAGGGCACGTATCGCTGTGAAGTATGTCTCCGGGAAGCCCCATGTTGTAAGGAGGCCGAACAGATACGGCCACTTCACTCTGTCGAAAGACCTTCTCGGCGTCCAGTGATAGTGCCAGAGAAGGCTTTCCTGATACTCCCATGTACCATGTTAAGACTGTGTTCCTTCTTGTGTTCTCATATAGTTGCCTATTCGGGCATAAAGCCCCCCTGGTCAAGGTGTATGAGTCACTTTAGAAGCGGCGTCAGTTTAGAGGCTAATATGTGTGCGTACAGTTTCAGGTCTGTGTTGATCAAGGATATCGGTCTATAGTTACCTGCCTGTGCGGTGTCCTTGTCGGGTTTGAGTATGAGCACTATGTTTGCGAGCGCCATCTCCGAGTCCAGGGTCCCTCCTTTCATAAAGTGATTATATAAGTTGGTGAGATGTGGTATTAGGGTGTCCTTGAACTTTTTGTAATATCCCGCGCTATATCCATCTGGTCCCGGGGCTTTATTTCCCTTAAGTGTCTCAATGGCTGCCTCCACCTCTAGAGGTGTTATGGTGGCTGTCAGTGCCTCTGTGTCTTCCCCTGTCACCCTTGGCAGGTCCGTGTCTGCAAAGAAGGAGGTCCACTGCGTATGCTGGGTTAAGCCCATCGTCAAGTGGGGAGTGGTTGTAGAGTTTAGAATAGTAATGTGTAAAGACTTTGTTAATGTCATCTGGGGTTTCTGCCGTGTCCCCCGTCTGTGTGAGAATCTTAGTGATGTGTTGGAACCCTTGTCTTGGTTGTAGGGACCTTGCCAGCAGTGTGTCCATTTTGTTGGACTTCTCATAAAATGTGCATCTAGACCATAAGATGGACCAGGCCACGCCCCTAGCAAGATTTATTTTAGGGAGGGTCTGAGAGTGTTAAGTTCAGTTAATTACGGTCCTGTGTGGTTTGCCTTATGCTGGAGCTCCGCTTTTTTAAGGGCCGTCTGTAGTTCCAGTAATCGGGTGGTTGTTTGTTGTTTCTTTATGCGTGGCTGCTTTAATAATGTGTCCCCGTATGACCGTCTTATGTGCCGCCCATATGGTGGTGGGGTTTACGTCGGGTGTACTATTATGTTCGAAGAATTCTTTGAGGGTCGTGTTCACAAATTGGGTGATGCCTTCATCCTCTAACAGACTTCTGTTTAGTTTCCAAGTCCAATTATAGGCGTACTTTAGCCCGTCGAGGGTAATCACGATGTCCACATGGTCTGACCAAGTGATGTTGTTAATTTCAGAGTGTACGATCTTGGCCATTCCTGGTCCGTTAAGTAAAATGCTATCTATCCTTGTGTCCGGGTGCTGTTGTCGCCACGCATCAAGTAGACCTGTGTGCCCCAAGAAAGCCCCCTCCCTTGTGACCGCAGCACTCCCCTTTTTGTGCTTCTGTCAACTGCCGGACACTCCACTGCATTGAAGTTCCCCTCCTACCATCACCACCCCCCTTCCCAAGTGTGGGCCAATGTAGTGAGGGTGTCCCAGAACCGTGGGTCCAGTTCATTAGGTGCGTAAACGTTGAGTATGTGATGTTTGGTTGTATTTATTGTGCCTGTAATGGTTACATATCTGCCCTCCGGATCTACCTGTGTTCCCATCACCTAAAAGGGGCAGTGTTTATGCAGGAGGATGGCAAACCCTGCGCGTTTGCGTAGTGCTCTGGCCTCGTGCATCCTTGTGTACTGTCTATCTGCCAGTCCAACGGAGATTGACCTGTATTAGGGCGATGTCAGCTTTCTTAGCCTTCAGCTCCCTCAATAGAAGTTTACGTTTGGAGGGCGTGTTCAGTCCCTTTACATTAAGTGAGAGTACCTTTAGAGCCATACTGTGCTGTCAGAGGGTGGCTGTTGCCATGTGCTGTGGGCTCCCCAGTCTCTAAGCCATGTCCCCTCAGTCCCCAACTGGGTAGGTGACAATCCCTGTTGTTGCTCAGGGCCTGCGCCCCATGAGAGAGCCGTCCTGGTGTAGAAGTGTCGCAAATACATCATACAAACAATTTGAAATAATAACATAACTGTAACTTAATATATTTACAAAATGAAGTCTGGTCTTACAGATCGCCAGAGCAGCCTAGGGGTGCAAGCCACTACAGCCCTTAGACAACATGGTCATTTTTAGATTTGAACCAGCTAAGAGCTACATGAAATTTGTCCCCGTGTAATTGTTCTCGCGGCCCAGCAAAGAGTTGGTGACTTAACTCTGGGGCAACTGCTCTATTTGTGGTGAGGTAAATGCTCCGGACCGGGCGGGCTGGCCCACCTTTCTCCGTTTAGGCCCCTCACCGCTGTGGGCACCCCTCCTTCCCAGGCTGGGAGCCCGTCCTCGTCGTGTAGGTAGGAACCTGTAATTCTGCCACAACTTGCCAAAAACCCCCGCGATCTGAGGGTGCAGCCACATAATAACCCACTTTGTACTTTGAGGACATTTATAAGAGGGAAGGTTCCCCATAACGAATAAGGTGCATGTCCATCAGCGTCTCTCTCAAGTCGTACCGTCCGATATGACCCCGATCTCCTGCCATTCTCGTGCGATGGGTATCAGCTTTGGTCTCAAGTGGTTTGGCAGGGTCAGGCGGCACGTCGGCGTTGAGTCCTCTGAAGAAGGGGACTGGGTGGGCTCCCGGTGTAAGGGTTTGAGTCCTTCCAGCCTTGAATGCCACCAATTTGAAGGGGTGTCCCCAAGTGTATCGTATTTCGTGGCTCCGGAAGAGTTCCGCGGCCAGTCTCCACTCCTTACGTCGTTGTAGGGTAGCGGGTCCGAGGTCTTGGTACATTCCCAGCTTGGTGTCCTGGTATTGTAACACATTGTCTATGCAATATTTGACAATAGCGTCCTTGGTGCAATAGTGGTGGAAACGAATTATGACATCTCTGGCCACGGACCTTTCTGCTCTCCTGGCTCGCAGAGCCCGGTGGGCACGATCAATCGCCCATCTTTCTTCTGGTATGCCAGGGATCAAGTGTTTGAAAAATTCCTCCATGCGCTGTGGGGGTGGGACTTCTGTCGGGTTTTCTGGAAGGCCTCTTATGTGTATGTTGTATAGTCTGGAGTGATTTCATACGTCCTCCTCTAACATCTCCAAGGCATGCAGCTGTTGTGCCATGGACTCGCTGCTCCAGTTCAGATGTGCGCACTGCCAAGGCTTGAATCTCAGCTTTGACTTCGTGGGAGGTTCTGGCTATTTCCCTCGCTAGGTAGGATTTCACCTCTGTGAGTTGACGCAGGATTTGTGCTGTGTCTCCTATGGGTGTTCCATCACCAGTGGCAGAGAACGGAGAGAGGGAGCCACGTGGACTCGGGTGGTGGCCATCTTGGGAGGATGGGTTCGTCCACAAGGCCACAAACATGTTTGAGACAGAGATCGGGTTTTCACCCCGCTCCACTCTTTATTTTTTCTGGGCTGGTTCGCTCCAGGAACTGTGCTGGTCATGGTAGAGGCTGTGTGTTGGTCTCGATGCTGCAGGCAAGTGCGAGATACTGTGCGGATGGACAGGAGCTGTAGGATTATGCTGCCATCTTAGTCGAAGGCCAAACCATGCCACCCCTGGCTGAAGCTTTTTAATGGCCCACACAACCGCAGGACACTCCTTTTCAATGGCAGCCTAACTCACCTCCCTGGGTAGTAACTTTCTGCTGAGGTAAGCTATGGGATGTTCTCCGCCATCGTTCCTGACCTGGCTCAGCACTGCTCCCAATCCAAACATGGAGGTGTCTGTGTGGATGAGAAAATGTTTATTTGGATTAGGAGCTGCAATGACGGATGCTTTTACAAGGGCTTTTTTAAGTTCCTGAAAAGCTTGCTCACACTCCAGGGTCCAGTTTACTTGGCGAGGTAAGTTTTTTTGGTTCAGGTCGGTGAAGGGCGCTATAATTTGGGACAAATTTTCTGTAATAACCAGCAGTCCCGATAAAGGCCATTACTTGTGTCTTAGTGCGGGGAAGGGGCCAATTGGCTACAGCCTCAATCTTGCCTGGTTCAGGCTTTTGTTTCCCACAACCTACTTGGTGTCCGAGGTACGGAACTTCGGCCATTCTGATGTGGCACTTACTGGGATTCAAAGTTAACCCTGCCTCTCGGATTTTATCCAGCACGGCCCCTAAATGTACTATGTGCTCTTCCCAAGTGTCGCTAAATATGGCGATGTCGTCTAGGTATGTGCAAGCGTAATCCTGGAGGCCATCCAAAAGCCTATCTTTCATTTTCTTCATTCCGAACGGCATTACCTTAAATTGGTATAGACCAAAGGGAGTGATGAATGATGACTTTGGGATAGTGTCTGGTGCTAAGGGGATTTGCCAGTACCCCTTACATAGGTCAATGGTGGTGAGATATTGACCTCGAGCCATCCGGTTCAATAGCTCATCTATGCAGGGCATCGGTAAACGTCCAAGATTGTCTTTTCATTAAGCCTCCGGTAGTCTACAGAAAACCTGGTTGTCCCATCTCGCTTTGGGATGAGAACTACAGGGGAGACCCAGGGATTGGTGAACATTTCTATTACCCCCAATCGGAGCATCTCTTAGATCTCCTGCCTCATACTGTCCTGAACCGCCTTTGGGATTCGGTACAGAGTTTGCCTTAGCAGTTGTTGTTTGGGTGTTTCTACTCTGTGGCTGGCCAGAGGGGTGAACCCTGGCAGATTGGAGAAGGTGGCTTGCTTTGCGGACAGCATCTTTTGAGCTTTCCTGCATTCTTCACTGGTGAGCTGGTCCTCTAGTTGGACTTCATCGATGGACCCTGCCTGAACTCCATTTTCTAGGACGTCCAGCAGGGGAAGAGTGTCAAAATCATCCGAGACAGAAGCACAGATAGCCGCTACGTTATCCATCTGCTCGTGGTAGGGCTTCAACATATTAACATGTAACATGCTTCGGATTCCTTCCCCAGAGCATGGGCCCTGCCAGGCAGGGTGTAGCCTATCCTGTCGGGCGGGTTTTAGGAGTAGGACTTTCTGTCCAGCTTGAAAGTTACGGTTTCTGGCTCCCCGATCATACCAGGTGCGCTGACACTCCTGTGTCGTCTGGAGGTTCTTCTGGGCGTTGCGCCCAAATCAAAGATGGCGCTGACCATGTGGTCGCGCACACCACAAGCTCCGCCCCTCAAAGTTATATTGACGTGGGCGTGACGACACAACGTCAACGCACGCGCACGTTCTGGGGTCAGATGTCACCCTCTGACCAAACAGAGCCCAGAGAGGGATATTTAAATCCCTAATTCACTCCAGTTCCTTGCCCTGTCGTGGTTTCCTGTTCCTGGTTCCCGAGAGTGCGTTTATCTTTGTGAATCTGACTTCCTGGTACTTCCCTCCCTTGTTATCTCTGAGGTCATCACTATGTGTCGGGTCACATGACCAGGTTCAGCACACATATAAGGAAGCTGCTCTAGAGCGTGCAGCACCAGACACACTGCCAGTCTGGAGACAGGGACCAGATGACGCCACTCGCTGTGATGAGGTAAGCAAGGTTGCCGAGAGCCAGGAGGGCAGGAAACTGTGGGCTTCAAGGGAAAACGAGCATGGTAGGCCCGAACAAGACGAGGGACGATCAAATCAAAGGCAGAAACCCAGGAATGCTCTTCCGGGCTGTAACCCTTCCAGTGAACCAGGTACTGCAAGGCGCCCCTGAAGAAGCGGGAGTCGAGAAGGGATTGCACCTCGTACTCCTTGCTAGAGTCGGCCCGGACAGGCGCCTAAGAGACCCTGAATACCGCTTTCAGCAGCCCCGTTAGACTGTGGGTGATAGGATGAGGAAAAGGACAGGGATATCCCCACTTCAGTACAGAAACCCATCCAGAATCGTGAGATGAACTGAGGGCTCCTGTCAGAAACAATATCCATGGGTATGCCATGAAGCCGGAATACCTCTTTTGCGAAGACCTCTGCTGAAGAAGGAAGCTTCTTCAGTGGAACAAAGTGAGCCATCTTAGAGAACCTATTGGTCACCATCAAAATGACCGTGGGACCCTCGGAGGGGGGAAGGTCCACTATAAAATCTATGGACAGGTGAGTCCAAGGCGTCTTGGGCACCGAAATTGGCATAAGAAGGCCAGGTGGATTGCTTGTGGGAGACTTGGCCTGAGTACAAATTTGATAAGCCATAACGTACGCTTTGATGTCCCTCCTAACAGAAGGCCACCAGAACTGTCTTGTTATGTTATCATAAGTTTTTTGTGATGCCTGGGTGTCCCACTGTTTTGGACCTATGAAACAATGTCATGACTTTTCTCCTGTTCCTTCCCTGTACAAAAAATAAAACTGTAAGTGTTTCAGGTGGTGCTTGGTTTTGATATCTCTTCACCTTTTTTAAAAAGAGGGTAGAGATAACCAAGTGCGTTGCTGCAATAATGTTGGCGGAAGAGACTATGGGTTCTGGAGGGGAGGGGGCAACCTCCAGTGGTTCGTGTTGCCTGCATATAGCATCTGCCTTATTGTTGCTGTATCCAGGTCTGTATGTTATGGTATACTGGAAGCGAGACAGAAATAAGGACCACCTAGCCTGGCGAGAAGACAGACGTCTGGCCTCGGCTATGTAGGAGAAGTTCTTGTGGTCTGTAATCACCAGTATAGGGTGTTTGGAACCTTCCAGTAAGTGTCTCCACTCTTTAAATGCCAAAACTATGGCCAGCAATTCCCTGTTCCCCACATCATAGTTTTTCTCTGCATCAGACAGTTTCTTGGAGAAAAAAACAACATGGGTGAAGAGGATCGTTGTGGGTTTTTCTCTGAGAAAGTATTGCACCAACACGTGACTCAGACGCAGTGGCGTACATACCAGGGTCGCAGGGGTTGCGGCTGCGACCGGGCCCGGCCCACTAGGGGGCCCGGTCGCCCCTGCGACCCGGTATGTACCCACAGGGCCAGCCTCTTCTCCAGGGGGGCCCAAGAACCGGCCACCTCAGGGCCCCACCGAGGCTGGCCCACTGACACCCGGCAGGCAGGCGGGAGGGCGCGCAAGGGAATACTCTCCCCTAAGTGCTTCCTCTTCAGCTCCCTCGCGCATCGAATGGATACCGGAGCCGGAAGATGACGTCATCTTCCGGCTCCGGTATCCATTCGGTGCGCGAGGGAGCTGAAGAGGAAGCACTTAGGGGAGAGTGCTCCCTCGCACGCCGGCCACCCAGACAGCCCGCCCGCCTGCCCAGGAGCCCCAGGAGCCCAGCAGCGCCACCACTGGACCCCAGGGAATCCCCCCATCACTCCAAAAGGTAAGGAGGCTGGGGGGATTAAATTTAAAAAAAAATGTGTTTGTGTGAGTGTGTTAGTGTTAGTGTGTGTGTTAGTGTGTCTGTTATTGGGTGTGTGTCTGCTAGTGAGTGTCAGTGAGTGTGTTACTGAGTGTGTTTGATATCTGTTATTGAGTGTGTGTTTGTCAGTGAAAGTGCATGTTTTGTAAGTGAGTGTGTATGTATGTCTGTCACTGAGTGTGTGTCTCTCAGTAAATGTGTGTGTCTGTTAGCTAGTGTGTATGCGTCTGTTCGTGAGAGTGTGTGTGTGTGTCTTCAGCATTTACCTTTCTCCAGCGCCGGACTCCCTTGGCGCTGGGGATCCCTCTGTATCTCAGCTCCGAATGCACATGTGCGGCAAAAGGTGCGCGCGCAATTAAACCACCCATAGAAAAGCATTACTCAATGCTTTTCTATGGACATTCAGTGTCTTCTCACTGTGATTTTCACAGTGAGAATCGTGGAAGCTCCTCTAGCGGCTGTCAATGAGACAGCCACCAGAGGCTGAATTAACCCTCAGTGAAACATAGCTGTTTCTCTGAAACTGCTATGTTTTCAGCTGCAGGGTTAAAACTAGAGGGACCTGCACCCAGACCACTTCATTGAGCTGATGTGACCTGGGTATCTGTAGTGGTCCTTTAAAGGACCACTATAGGCACCCAGACCACGTTAGCTTAATGAAGTGGTCTGGGTGCCTGGTCCAGCTAAGATTAACCCATTTTTTCATTGACAGCCGCTAGAGGCGTTTGCGTGCTTCT